CTACTTAAATTACTTAAAATTATTCACATAATATATCAGTATCACTATCGCTATCATCGTCTGTTCTAATTATTATTTGTTCTATATTATTTGCAATATCGATATACGATTGTTCTGCTTTTTCTATATGTTTAACCGAATTTGCCCAACTTTGTGGAGGGATGTTAAAAACTTCGGTTTCTATAAGTTTGAGGACATTGGAGTTAACACGGGGAAAAACATTGTTACGACGAATGGCAGATTTCAGTTGGTGCCAAATATGTTCAGTAGGATTAAATATGTAGATTTTTTGCATAATTATCACAGACGTATTCCTTTTGTAGGTCCAAGCTTTGTAGAACCTCAATTAATTGCTTGTTGGTATAGTCTTCGTGCAAATAAATATCGCTATTATATATGTAGTTTTGGATTGTTGCTTTTGTGCCACAAGAGGAAGGGGTTTTAATCAACTGTCTACTGTGATAACTTGCATTGTCCATTGCAATTACGCTATTAGGAGCAATGTTTGAAACTAGTTTGTTTTTAAACCAACTTTCAAATAAATCAGCGGTGATGTCTTCATAGTAATCCAAAGAAGAATCTTTAATATTTTTAGCAGGCAGAGAAGGTCCAATTGGAATCCAACCATATTTAGAGCCAGCATGCAAAATAGTTATTCTTTTACCTCTTTTTGATGGCGCGTTGGTTTTACACTTATCAGTTGAATCGACCCAACCCTTTTCGGGGGTAACATAAGTGTCGAACCAGGTTTCACCCAAGTAAATAATTGGCCTTTGTTGTTCTCTGTAAATCCTAATTTTTTCTATATATTCCAGTCGCCATTTCCGAATTCTAAAAAAATCCATTAAAACTTGCCTTTTGTCAATATTTTCAAATCTAAAACCCATCTTTTTCAAGCCTCCTAATTAAGATATCTAATGTAGGAACGCTTTGTTCCTCGTATAACTGGTAAATTTTACGCCGTATTATATCTTGATCACTTTCATCTATACTCGAAAAAATGTCAGCATCGCTTCTTTTTTTCCTCGCTGAAATAGGATTATTCACAATTTTCCATGAGATGATGATGTTGGAAGTTTCATCAATGTGGCCGTTTCTTCTAACGATGTTTGCTTGCTGGCACCACGTTCAATGAGAGTCAAATAAACATTGTTTATAACTTCCTTATTCTCAATAGAATAGTGTTTTCTACATTTGGGAGGGAGCATCTCCTGAGATACGCTAGACTCGCACATATTTTGCATAATTCGCACACGATTCAACACACGCTGTATTACACACGAAATAAGAATGATTACTAATAAACTTAAACTAAGTAGTATTCCAAACCAAAGAATATTAAACACAGGCAGGTATAAAATTATTTTCTATTACGGACCACAATTTTAGCTGAATTTAAATTCCGCAACTTTAGGTAATAATCTTGTTGCATTGGATAATCCCATTCAAAAGCAATTGGTCACTTTCTTATATCTTTGAACCGACCATACCAAGACCAAAAATGTATTAACTAACCAAAATATTATTAAATTGTAAACAGAGACCAACAGCATAATGCAGCAGACGATCCCATACGGGAATCTCAGAAAAGATCAGCAAAACAGTACAAGGTTAAGACTGTATACAAGTCGGTACGGCATTAAGGAGCATAATTACAAGAACAAAGCCAGAAACATCGACTCAAGAGAAAGAGTGTATCTAACAAAGAGCCTGTGAAAGTTGAGAGTGATGGAGAAACAATCAAGCCTGTGACTGTCGTGATCGGAGAAACAAAACGACCTTTATACGTTAGAGTCAAAGAATATAGGCAACGCAAAATGGGGGGTGAAATCCACAGTTCAGAAATGGCGGGACATATATGGACCAAACAACACCACATCAAATGGTTCGAAGTTTGAGTTATCCACAGGAAAGAAAATATGGTTTTGTTGATGGCTCCGTCAATATATTGGCTCTAATAATTATATTAACCTTCCACCTAATTTATTTCACCTAACCAAACATGAGAGGGTAAATAAATTAGCGATAATATAAAACTTCATTACCTATATGTTAATAAAAACCTTAGCTTTTGAAAACGCACTTTGAATACCTAATATTAAAAGTAAACCGTTAAAGTTATGTTTTGAACAAATTAAAATGAATTCTAAAATTGATTGCGGTTTATTTTTCGAATGTTGGCTCGAGACTACGATATGGTGTTTCTGGAGTTTGCCAAACACAGCGCTTTTTATTGCTCAAAAAGATGTATTCTATAACTGGAAAACCAAAACCTGAATTTAATATTTTAATTATTTGTTTTATTTGATAAAGTTGTCGAAACAATTGTCATGTGAAAATATATAATGTCGTGAACATTTGAACTTTTATTTCTTATTTATTTTGATAAATGGATTTTCATCAAGTAAAGCCACCTCAGTAGCTGTAGCCATGGCCTTCCGCTCTTGCATAGAGACGTGCAAATCTTCAAAGTTATACTAAAAAAAATTGAATGAACTATTTATAATTTGGAACATTGGGAACGGTTTTTGGTTTTTTCTTTACACATTATTGTTTGAATACGAAAGGTTCATTAAAATTGTATAAAAAAATTTTTTTTAATCCCTATTCATCTATTCGCTTGGTTGATATATGATGATAGTTATATGGTGATAGTTATTCTACAACTATGGACCAAATTTTCTATGGATCTGAGCAATTTTGCGATGTAACCGCCATATGAGGCAAAGGGTAGGTAAGCAATTTTTATTAACACTTTTAAAATGGGAAGAACTCCTCAAAAGGTGCGAAACTAAAAAAAAATATGTTTAGTTAGGGATGTCCATAAAAAAATTAGTTTTCTTTATGCATGTTTTTTTAATGTGTATTAATATTAAATAAAAAAATTCTATACTTTTCGAAATTTGACAATCAAATATTACTAAAGTCACATTAAAATTTTATATTTAGTGGACTTTATTTAATAGGACAGTTTTGGTTAGTTTTTTAGCTACAAAATATACTAAATTCAACTCAATTTTTCTTTCAGAACTGTGGTCAGCGAAAAAAAAAATGACTTTACAAAAATTTTTCTGCGATACTAAGATTTTTTTTTCAAAAAATGAGTATCATGATGATATGAAGGTTCAAAAAGATTTTGAATTATTAAAATTTAACACATTTTTTTTATTTTAGAACAAAATCAAGTTTTAAAATTTCTTTGAGATTTCTTAATTTTTATCTTGAAAGCAAAGGTCGATGCAAAAAAAATGCAAGGAACAGAAAGTTTCATTTTTGAACAAAGAATATTATTCAATCATCAAATCATATTATTTATCTATAAATAAATTTTATCAAAATCAAAATCTATTACACTTTTTCTTCTTGATAGTTTTTCCGCTTTATTACAGATACCAAAACGCATTTAGCGGCTCCAAACTAACTTTCAGGAAATATCCTGCGGGTCCTGGCTTCCTTCGTCATCCTTCATCGGCGCTTACACTCAGGTAACACGAAACACTCATAACTCCCTTTTATTTACTCCCTCCCCACTTCTTTATGTAAAACCACTCAAGCCAGGCGAGAACCGCTGAAAGCGTACTGAAATATTCGCCGGCAAATTTGTTTGAGAGCTGCCTTTTTGTTTATAAAACTTATGTTAGAATAATACACCTAAAGTTTAAATTGCACGTATCTAAAAATAATCCGGTTGGGTTTATGTCGTGAAAATTCCGCTCTTGAATGTTACGCGCGTAACGCAAATCGAAATATATTAAATTTAAAAGGATGCGATTCGAAGTTTATACGTCCAGTTTCACATTTTTCTTTAACTCACGATTTCTCAAAACTCCGACGGGTACCGGAAAAATCCGATCCGTCATCCTTTCGTTTGTTGAATTTCGAACTTCGGAAATGTTTCTAAGAGTATTTATAATGCTTAAGTTTGAAATCTAAGTTAAACGGGCGATTGGTTTAAATACTAAGAGACAATTTAAAAATTATTTACATCAGCAGTTTCAATTTGTGCAAATGAATAAAGAACTTCCACACACGAAATGGTTTTGAATGGAGTTCCTTGGGGCTCCATCTTGGGGCCAAAAGGCTCTTGTATTTTGTTCTGTGTATTGAAACGCATACGGCAATTACTTATATTATGCTTTTGAATCAAATAACGACCACGAAGCAGTTAAAGACATAAACCAGATACTTTTGGGCAGTGACAAAGATAAAATTCAACATAACTTTAAATTTCAAACAGAAAAATGAAGATTGAAAATGTTCGAAGGACGATCGTAATTTGTAACTAATTTTGGCGGATAATCTCATCACATAAAAATAAGAACATTTCAATTTTGTTGATATCGTGTTTAGAAAAAAATCAAAAAGCGTACCTACGTTTTGCTCTTGTCTTTCGGTCTGTGCGGTTTATCGCATATAATACTTAATTATATTATGCTTTTGATTCAAATAGCTACCAACGACCTGTGGCAAGCATAAACCAGATACTTTTTCGCAGTGACAGAGATAAAATTCAGCATAACTTTAAATTAAAAAAAAATCTAACAAGGTTCGTAATTTGAAACTAATTTCAGCGGATAACTTAAATTTAAATGTCATCATATATCAATAGGAACATCACATCAGCAGATATACCGGTTTAATTTTATTTCAATTTTGCTGATATCATGTTTAGACAAAGTTCAAAAAGCGTGCCTATGCTTTGATCTTCTATAATCTATAAGCAATGTTCCCTCCTTTAAAGGTCTCAAATGTGTTGAGGTTAACTATTACTTTACAATTAATAAAATAAACCATAAAATCAAAACCAAAAAATCCAGAATTTTACAAGGATCGGAGTGGTCATATTCTTTTGTCAATCTATAATAAAGCATTATTTAGAGAAACATCTTTTTCAGCACCATGGTTTGGGAGATCAGCCGCTTACCTCACTTATTTGCCCACCCTGTACATATATTGCGAATACATCTATTTAATTATATATTTAAAAGGAAAACCCATAATCATACAACAACAATTTTTATTTAGTAACATACGGAGTTGCTGTAAACTAAGTCATCAATACACAACAAATTTATAATGTTTGTACAGTGAATGTAGACTTGACTTTTTGAACGCTACGTCACTCAATGCCTAAGGCTTTCACTAAGAATTTTGTGAAAATATTAGTCCCTTTGGAAACAACCATTTCGGCTTCACTAGGCTTTCTTTCTGCTGGCAGAGCGAGCACGGTCACACAGAAATCGTGAACTGGAAGATTGGCTTCTCTCTTAGTCTTGACTTGTACAGTATCACTCATATTATTCCCATTCACCGGCAATGGACTGAAGGTCACTCCCTCGGTGCTGTTGGTTGAACTGCTTAGAGTTGAGTTACTCGATTGAATCGTTCCATTATACGTCACGTTGTTATTAATAATAGTGGTGTTGTTGACGATAATAGTGTTGTTGACGTAGGTGATGTTGCCTAAGACCTTCGCGTTCGACACGCAAGGGATTGTTACCGTTTGGTTTTTCCCCGTTTCACAATTTCCGGTACCGTTGATGCAGGGTATGTTTGTTTCTATGCAATTTTGATTGTTCTGACCGGAACATGGTACCGTAGTTGTTGCGCTAGCGACGCATAATATCGCTCCGTTGTTGGTGCACAACGACGTGGTACCTGGGGGACAAATGCTACCGCTATTTCCCACGCAACCCACAATCGCGTTTGGTTGGATGGTACTTTGCGCCGGAATGGAATCTCGATTGTGATAATAATGGTGCACGGTGTAGTGGTCGTATCTCGGTAGGTATCCGTCGTAACCTCCGGAAGAGTAGTGAAAAGTGGGAGTCGTCACTTTGGCCAAGGAATACCCCAGGAAAAAACCTAAAGCACCGCTACCGACGTCGCTTGAGGAATAGTGATAGCTCGGGTAGCCAAAACCACCGCCGTAGCCCCCTCCCAAACCCCCTCCATGGTAGTTGTTGTTGTTGTTATTGTTAATAATCGTAACACCACCGCCACCCGGTTGTGCGTAACCAGCGTTAGGGTGATAGCCACCAGCTTGTGGGTAGTTTGGGTGGCCGTAAGATCCATATGCCGGCGAATGTCCGTATCCGGCAGGACTGTACGCCGGTGGTGGTCCGTATGCGGCAGGATTGTAAGCAGGTGGTGGCCCGTATCCAGCAGGATTGTAAGCTGCCGGAGAGCCGTATCCTGCAGGATCGTGGTTAGGATTATACGCTGGTGGGGGCTGGCCGTGCGGATTGTACGGTGGTGGATGTACTGAAAAAAAAAAAGATATACGTTGCCGGATTAATTACTGATATCAACTCATCTCAAAGAACAATATAGGATATTTTAGAAAAGTGTAGTATAATAAGTTAGGAAATTCGGAGTTAATTTTGATCCCATATTAATAAATAAGTAAATAGATTATTAGGTAGATAGATTATTCGTCTATGACGGAATAATAAGAGCAGAGCAAAATTTTGTATCTTGACAAGACGTGGATTGTTTGCAAATTCTAACAAAGATTTTGTGACTTGGCATTTTTCATATCTTTGGAGTTATAGGGAGTAAACTAATAGAAAAACAATGTTTCGTGTTTCTATCGCGCAACATTTTTGTTACATACATAACATTCTAAAAATTGAAATTTTTACCCCAAAGGCAGGTAGTCGTTTCATGAGGTTAGTTAGCATTGTGCAGTTAAATTTTTTTTTAAATTACCAAGACTTTGTGGCGAAGAAATTTAGACGTAGATCTGAAAAACATTGAGCCCGTTGAAGAACAAGATAAATATAGTCTAAGTCATGTTGGTGATATGTGGAGTGTTTCTCAGTATTTCACACTAAAGGATCTTTTACAAATTTTAGCATCTAGATTTCGTAATAAAAATTTACAAGCACGAGATGTTAAAATCTGATATTTCGGGAAATGCGAGACTGAATTTATAAGCTACTTTAAACATAGTGGCTTACTTGCTTATTGCACCGATATTCTTAATCTAATAAAGAAACTTGATACAGACTATAACTACAAACACTGAAGGTTTTTTATTGACTCGTCCAAGAGAAGCCAGGAGTAAAAATTAATGAGAGGTTTTCCAAAACTGCTGTTGACAGTTGAAACAATCTATTTACCGACGAAATGTTATACATGACAGTCAGGTATACCAATCAGTACAAGGACACCATTAGAAATAATTTTTCTAGAGAGAGATACATAAAGCCTACTGATGTGATCAAAATAAGATCTTTTATCTAGCAAGTGCTTATGGAGGGAATCGGCAAAGTTTTGAGAAACTTGGGAAAGGGACGGTGATGGTATTGAAAAGTTTGGTCTTGAGATAGTTATAAAACAGTTTAAGACTCTAATACGGTATCTTCGTTTTGACGACCGAATTACAAGAGCAGAAAGGAACAAAGAAGATCGACTTGCTTCAGCTCGCAACATTTTTAATGAATTCGTACAAAACAGCCAGAAGAGTTATATTCCCAGAAAAAATGCTCCCAGGTTTTCAAGAGAAATGTCCTTTTCGGCAGTGCATACCAACAAAACCTAACAAATATGGCATAAAATGTTTTGCCCTTGTTGATTCAAGAATGAATTACGGTTATAATATTGAAATATATTCAGAACGTCAACCAGAAGGGCCATTTTCTATCAGCAACAAGTCAACAGCAGTAGTGTACAGGATGGCTGAGTCTTTATTTGGGTCTGGCCGCAACATCGCCGTTGACAACTGGTTTACTGATATGGACTTTGTTGACCGGCTCGAACTAACAAAAGGGAATTAACGCCACAACTTATTGCCACTAAAGCAAGAAAACAATTTGGCAGGCTATATGGATTTAGTGAAGTGAAGACCTTAGTATCGTATGTCCCAGCAAAAAACAAGAATGTGATTCTCGTGTCAACGCTTGATAACGACAATTCCATTCATCTTGAGTCCCTAGAAGAAAAAAAACCCGAGATTATAATGTTCCATAACTCAACGAAAGCGGGTGTTGCCACTCTGGACAAAATGTGTGCTACATTCCATGGCTTCCGAAATACGCTAGACAATGGCCGTATTTTCAACGATGTTGAATGTTAGTGGCATTAACTCTCATATTATTTATCTTGGTAACAATTTGAGACCAATGTCTTGAAGAATATTTCGTTTGGGTTGAACTACAGAACTTCAAAATAGACTGAAACGATTTCTCCCTCCTTCGCAGGAAGGAGAAGGTCTCCATCCAAAAAAACGTCCTTGCTCAATATGCACTAGCGAAACTGTTTTAAGTAGGTTTACAGATCATGATTGTAAGAAATGTAAGACACATTTTTGCTTATCTCACGAAAATATGGTGTGCGATGAGTGCTTTACTCCAAAAAATTCAGATTCATCTTCCGAGTGATTACCGTTAAAGAAATCACTGATAAAAGAAATTTGTAAATAATTTTACATTTTTAGGTAACTTTTTTTGTGTTTTCTTGGTATTTAATTGTAAGGTTTACATGTCTTAAAAATCGTTTACAAATTTCGCACTAAATAAATGTTTTTTTTTAAGAATACATTCATTAGAGAACGCTAGGAATAATATTCATCCGATAGTTAAATTAACTAATATTTATTTTGATGGACTAAAAGAATAAAAAACAGAAATTTAATTTTGAAATGAATAGGTAAGTCTAGTACCAATAAAGCTCTTAAATTGTTACAATTAAATTTTTGTCAATAAAGAAAGTGAAAATGAAGACAAACGGAGAACTCGAAAAGGAGTCTGCCATTTGTTTAAAGCAAAATATCCAGGAATACCTATTATAAGATCTACAAAAACTAATGAGAACACAAGATTAAACATTTTGTTGGAAACGGAGGATAATCCTCATCGCGCATCTTCTGAAATAGCTTGAAATAGTGAGTGAGTGTTGAGTTAGTCAACGAACAGCAGACTACAGTTTCGTGAAATTATTTCTTCATCGTTTTAATGGTATTGAGTACAAACAACCATAAAATATGAATATTTCGGCAGGGATTTAGAATAACAAAATTATAGGACCTTATTTCTTCGATCAAAATTTTACTGGAATCAGATATTAACGATTTCTTCAAAACTTCTTAATACCTACTCTTGGAGTTTCTTTTCTAAATCAAAATGAACTTGACATGGCAAAGCGACAAATTTGCTTTCAACAGGATGGTGCTTCTTTTGCTAGACAAGTGCGCGAATATTTAAATACGGTATTTCCCGGGCGGTGGATTGATAGATGGCCTGTAAGATTTCCAGTTATTACCCCACTGGATTTTTTGCTCTCGGGATATTTAAAATCGAAAATTTCATATGATTTCAAATTTAGAATTAAATACGAAATAAGGAAAATTAATGAAAATATCCCGAGTAATGTTTTTGGAAGGGTTTTTAAACCTATTAGAATATTGTCAAAAACTTAATGGTGGGCATTTTCAAAATCTAATAAAATAATTTCATAGACATGCCTTGTTTTTATAAATTTTCTCTCAATTGTTTTTCTAGATATCTTGAGTTGAAAAAATTACAAACCTTTTTTTGAGGTTTTTTCAGATTGGGAAAAACTAGATATTGCCTAAACTATTTTGCTCCAAAACTCTTCACTATGCTACCAAATAGTACCAAAGAAATAGATTAATAAACTTTCAAATCAAAAATAAAAACTTTCTTAATCGAAAAATCCTTCTATAGTGCTGTAAGGTCTCTTAAACAGTGCCTACTTTGATTGACATTGATCTACTTGTGTATTTTATATATTGCATATTATATATTAAATATTTTGCATTTCAAAACACAAATAAAGCTTTGCCGAGTACACAATGAATAATTTTGGTCTAATTTATTCTGAAATTGACTTTAAATTTCCTAACAGAAAATTTCAAAACTTTTTTTTTACAATAATATTTGCAAAATTTTATATTTTAAAGTTAATTTAGGTTAGGACTAGAAGACTAGCCAACCTTATTTTTTGGGACACTCTGCGTACTTTATCGAAACTGCAACCCCATGGCCAAATGAAAAAGGAAGATCAATTCATTCATATGCTGATGACACCTAGCTGTTACACACATGTAACTCAATTAATTTTGATAACATCGAAGCTAATTTTAGTTTGGATTTTAAAAATCTTTCTCAATCTAGTAAAAAACACAATCTTACGCTAAATTGTAAAAAAAACAAATTATGCTATTTGCTCCCCCTAAAAGCTATAATTTTTTTTTCTGATCATATTACAATTCAATTGGAAAATGAAGATCTTAAAATTACAAATGAAGCAAAAAATGGATGGTCAATTGAGCTATAGTGGTCCGATTTCTAATTTATGTTTGTAGTTATTAATGTCAAAGTACGAAAAAAACTCTCTGACGCATGAATCCTTTCTAAATGCATATACTGTCTTCCATTATATTAAACGCTCTTAACCGTTGCCGATAAAACTAGATTACAAAAACTCCAGTATAGCTGTGCCCGACTCCTTTATGGGCCGAGAAAGTTTGATCGTATATCAGAAAAAAAATTGCGGTAAAATGCTACCTGTTTCAATTTTTAGTCGCAATTGCCGTATTTAAGGTTACGAAATAATATTTACCAACGTCCCTGTAAGTGTTTTAGTATGAAATTCACAATTCGCCTCTAAGGACGAAAAACTTTCTATATATGCCCCGGCATAATTCTTGTAAATTTGAACGCTGATTTAGCTATAATGCCACTAAGCTTTATAATAATTATAATAAATATTTTGAATCCAGCTCAGTGCTAGTATTTAGGAAAAACTTTAAGGTCCATTGGAATTGCAAAAGTCGTTGTCCTAAACAAATTAATATTTTAACAATAACGAATTTCTAGACTCTTATTATTAAAGCTTTGTGTTTCATTATTATTGTAATATTCGGTTAATGTTGAGTAGCTGAGATCATGATCTTAAGGTAAACTTCGCCGTTTGAGGTTAGTAGCTATATTAGTTTGTATTTTCATTAAGTAATTTTGTCTAAATCTTAGGCAATAATTTAAAATGTCTCACTAAACACTATTATTATTATTATTATTATTAAAAACGAGATATTTGATTTTGCTCTGACGCAAATGCTCATACCTCGATAGTCTGCAAACGTTACCTGCATAAGGTGCTCCAGGTGGTAGTGCGTTTCCAACTGGTTTGACGTTTGCTGGTGGTCCGACCGGAGCGCTAGGTTTAGCTGCGGTGCCGTGAGGGTTGTCGTGTCCCGGGTTCCCAGCTTTGAATCCAACATTGTGGTCGCCATTTCCCGTAACAGCCGGTTTGAACCCGTAACTTGGTGGGTTCGATCCGCCGCTGGTATCGTGAGGCGCCGAAGCAACGGGTTTTACGTTGATTGATTGCGCGTGAGACCCCGCACCAGAGGTTTGACTTCCAGCAGGTTTAAATCCGTAATTCGGGGCACTTGAGGCCAATCCCACTGGTTTCTCGATTTTGGGTGGAGGTCCGACTGGGTGAGTCCCAACATTCCATCCTATCGGTCTGGTGTTGGTAGAGGATGTTGCTGGTTGGCGCGGTGGTGATGCTGGATGGGAAGGTGCGGGATGATTATAATGGGAAGACGGGTAACTCAGCGAGGCAGGGTGACCGTAAGAACTCGGAGATGGTCTGTTGTGTGACGACCAGCTCGTAGACGGCCTGCTGTGTGACGATGATCCCCAGCTCGAAGAAGGTCTGCTTCCGCCACGAGCTAGAATGAACGAGGACTTCGAAATCTGACATTCATTTACGATTGCATTAATTGAAGCTCGCAGTGGTTTAAAAGTTATGTGACGGGTCAGTGAGTAAAGCAATTCATTAATTACCGGAAAAATCAAAATGAGGCACCGAAAATATGCAGAGCTGCTAAAATTGCCGACGGACAGAAAAAAAAGTTTAAATAGAGAAAGTACTACGCGAATTTATTAATACCGGAAAGTTGTTTACAGGGCGGGTAGAGCTGCTTTGGTTTTTTGGAAAAACAAATCTTATGTTGATTAATATTTGGTATTTCTTTATGAGATACAGGGTGAGTCAAAAAGGTTGGTCAACCCATGAAAGACCTTCTTTCTACGAAACTAAAGAAACTTCGCGCCCGGCTTCTAAAATATCAGGGTGTTGGATATACAATGTGTCCCAAATTCGCTTCTCTATACAGAGATCTCGGTCCCTATTATACCTACAGCAAATGTTAGTGGAAAAAGATTTAGAGGAAACTTAGTGCAGGATTTCGATTTACGATCGGTCAATTACTTTGGCAGATATCGCCGAAAAACTGAAATGACGGATTTCGTTTTTCGCCAGTAATTCCAAAAAAGTTAAACTGATAGTTGCCAAAATGTGACATTATTGTGATACTTTTGTAAGAGGAGTAAGATGGCGTGCATGACAAGTCTCAATTGTCTTTTGTTATCTGACAACCCTGACGTCCTAGTGATAGGACGGTAAGTTATAAAATATTTGCTTACGCCACTAGTATGAATAACAGTAGTGCACTCTGTGTGCAGCGGTTTTATGTGCTCATGCTCGTTATGCTGCCCATATTTGTTGAAAATGATAAAACAAGTGCTGAATATGGTATCATGTATGCAAGGTAAATAGTTTGCAAAAAACCTTTTGATAATTTTTAAAAAAACTTCCAGAGGCTACTGTAATACTATTTACAAAGCTTCGTCTTGCTTGTCTGAAAAATATTTTTCTTTAACGGTTCTCTACTATCACCAGTCATCGCGAATATATTTATGGGAGCCTTTGATAAGAAAGCTCTCGAAACCTTCCATCTACAATAATTTCCATCATAAAATACACTGCACAACAACCTTCCAAAGACAATAATTCCGAAAACCCTAATATCCTTACAGTCAAAACATCACTGAGCACATATCAGAAATTATTTAAAAATATAACGTCAAAACCAGATTTACCACTTGCCCAAAAATCTCTCAACATCTTCGATCCGTCAAAGATGAAATGCGGTTTGAGATGGCAAGAGGAGGAAATATCATCTAGGCTCAAAGAGCATTAAAGATTCTTAACAACTAATTTTAGCTAAACTCGTCTTCCGTTAGAATAAGTTGTAAAGCTGACACAACTGCTTTCGTAAAAGTTCTGGGTACATCTTTTCTATTCAAGCTGTAGTCAAATACGGCCCTATATGTCTATTTCGTAAAATGATCGTGTTCAATTAAAAAGCTAAGTTAAATTACCAATTATCCTACACCAAAAGTTAATTCCAAATCTGCCACTTCGTGAAGGTTTACCACAGACCAATGCTGAGCATTGTGGTTATTAACTCCAAAATTCGTGATTTATATGATTTACAAATTTGGGACTTTCATTACACTTTCTAGAATGCCACACTCAGAAAAGCAAAAAAAGAAAAATTAGTTTCCTCAAGTCGTTGGACTATTGTCAGTTTGTATAGATGGTATTTATCCTTATTTAACACTCTCTCTACCGTTGAGTTTGGCAGGTCAATTTTACAGTTTTTACCGATTCACTCGGATTTTCGTTGAGCTTGTAAAATGTTTCCGTGGCGATTTTTATTTTCAATGTATCGGATTCTAGGTTGTTCAAAGGTTTCTTATTTAATTAAATTAACTACGATTTTTCCAAATACCGAACTGAGGTTATGTTGGCGCTTCTGTGTTATTGCAAGTACAACACTAACTTGTCAAATTCTTCTTCATTCGAATACGGAATAGCGCTTACAACAATGCGTTTGTTAGGTTAATGATTTTAATGAGAGAAAACGTACTACCTATCAAAACACAACTTTGATACTTTAAATTACTTAAAGTCAAAATCAGAGAGAGACCTCCTTAGATCGAAAAAATTTGGGAAAATATTTTGTGAACTTGTGAGACATCGCCAGAAATCGAAAAATTTTCCCTATTCAACCTTTGCAACAGGTATAATAGGAGCGAAGATATATAGATATAGAGAAGCGAAGCTAGGACACAATTGTCCTGTTGGGGTATATTTTTCGCTTGAATTTTGTAAATAAACACGGCACACTAACGGAAAAAGGAAGAGCACACCGACCGACCAATTTTCTTGATTTATGCCTTTGATCTTAAGAATTTTTTCGTTTAATAAACCACTAAATTTGTATATTTTTTCTTGCTTGTGTATTTTTGATGAGAATTGTATCTTTTGAGATATTTTACATTGTAAATTGACAGTAATATAAACATTCGGTATTTTAATAATAATGTAACAAATTTAAATTAAGTGTTCCGCGTGTCTTGCTTCTTCGTCAACACAGGAGCTTTGAATAAGTAAAAGAAGAAAAAAAATGTAAGGCACTATTTAAACCAAATATTGACTCAAATATTGGCTCACCCTGTTGATGTATTTTCCTTGTAAAGTTTTTTTATGCTCTGTTTCTTAGTACGAGATAGTTATAAATTATTATTGAACCGTAAAACCATTAATCTTAACCGTACTCCATAGGCGTAGTAGAAACTGTAATAGGTCCGGACGAAAAGCCTGCCATCACAGGAATAACAAACTCGTTTTACTTAAAAAAGAAATACCTACCTAACTAATGTCTAAAATCAAAAAGGATGATGTCATTGCACCCATGGGCGAAGAAAATGGAAAAAATGGTTTCGGTCTGTTGTAGTCATGCATAAGGACAGCTACCACTAACGAAGATGCAAAAAAATATCCACACCATTCCTTTAAATAAGAAGCAATTTCAGTAAGACATGCTGAAGACGATTAAAGAAATTAAAGAAATAATTAACAATAGTCATAATGGTGAAGCCGTTAAAATATGGCAGAGAAAAGCTACACGAACAAGTCTTGACAGTTGATAAAAAAGGAGATCAACTACATAGTAAAAATTACACTTATAAATACAGCCTACAAAATTTTATCTACACTCATACAAAAAAGATTGGGCAATGCCAGTGTGGTTTTATACAGGGAAAATCAACGGTGCGATACACAGTTTAAAACAAATTATAGAAAAATATATGAACATATGATGCTCTTCATAGATTTCCAGCAGGGATTTGACTCAATTAAAAGAAAACAACATTTACAAGCACCAAAAGACATGGAAATAACTCCAAAATTGAGAAGACTGATTACCACGACCATGAAAAGAACATCATTTAGTATCAAAACAAAACGGGGAGACACCTACGAATTTGATACCAGGTCTCAGATAGGGAGATTCTTTGCCAGAGATGTGATTTAATCTGCCCTTGAAGCATACACTAAGACACAGATAAGTTAACAATTAGAACAAAAGGGGGGCAAATAATAGAAGAAGAAGAATATGTTAAACGAAATTGTGAAGGAAGGACAGAAAACGTAACTGCAACTGAATGAAGAGAACACGAAAATAATGAATACGATCAACTTTACTGGATGCAACAGAAACTATGACAATTACAGGATAAGAACCAATAATGAGGTACTGGAAGAGCCGAATGAGAGGGATATATAGTAAGAAGGATAAAATTAATACGAGTAAAGTGTGGCATGTATGGAAAACAACAACGATATTGTCAATATAACAGTGAAACACAGGGGCGAAAAGAACAAGGAGAGGTGCCAGATCAAGATGGTTGAGGAAGTTAAAGAGGATTTGCGAAGACAAGAAGTGATAAATTGGCAAAAGAATACAGGCAATAAAAAAGAATGAGAAAACATCAGCAGAAAAGTATGAAACAGAAGAAATTGGTATTGATCTATCTCGGAAAACTCTCTTTAGGAGCCACACTATCTATCTATCTACTATTACTAAACTGAGGGACGTTAAAACCCTACTGCAAGAGGGAATAAAGGCGCGTGGATTGTGAAAAATGAAATGTGTCGAACATTGGAAACTATAATTGCAATTTATCTGAGATTAACGGTTTGTCCACCCTATTTACTGACCCCCACCATTGCAAATTTACATTTAACTTCTTCCTCGCATTAAGAAACTAGGCATAGTAATATTATTGTTGTTATTATTGTTTTTATTAAGTTGATTAATGGCAACAGAAAATAATTCCATATGAAGGAAAATATTGATATTTAAGCATTATAAAATAAGTTCTCATCTTTCAAGTGTCCGCCTTCAGCAATTTACGGCACAGTGGATAACGAAACCGCTTACTTTGTCGCTACATATTGTAATATTGTGGGCGCTATAATAAAAACAGGTGGCAATACTTACTTCTCCCGCATTCCGCATGGCTTAATATGACAACAAAAATCACAGCAAGGACAGCGCGTGCTCTAAACCGTTTGGTACACATCACAGCAGCAAAACAACACTAATATTATCACTAATTAGGAACTGAAAACATTTTGTTTACGCGCTTGCACAAATAAATAATTTAAGAACTGCGTTAACAAAAGGTCAAGTAATCATGGCGATTTGAGGCGATAAACTGGACTAAACAATCTCGCTGAATCCGGTAAAGTTGCCACAACCAACACGCTTTCAACGACAATTCGACAGAACCGTATCGATTAATTTTTATTAAATTTTTGTACCGTGTGGATAGACGACGCTCTTAACCAATTTGGATATTGTTATGTCAGTGGGCTAGGCCACCAATATTATTAGAAGAAATAATTATGGAAGTTTTTTTTTAATAACGGCACATGGCATACATTATTATCAGTTACATCATTATTATATCATAGAACAGAAATTATTTTTTTTGCAGTTGATTTTGTTTTATCTTCCGTGCTTCTCTTTTTTTAAAGGGATGGCCAAATTGGTTGTAACAAATATAATGTTATTCGTTTCTTTGCTAAGTATGTGTATCAAAGTACATATTTCTACTATTTTCCCAAACATTTGGTTCAAAACTTATTAGGATATGGAATTTCAGTTCTTGGATTTATTTTTCTCGTAAGATTTTGATTGGCTCTGTAACTATTTTATTTTTAACGATATCAAGTTAAAAAAAAAACGAAATCTAGGGTTTGCAGGAAATCTTTTTCTTAAGTAATATGAAACACGAAACACTAATAATTTTTTGGGATATCATTCTAATTTATCGACATTCAATAGAACCTATTATTCTGATTACAATTTTATAATACAATTTAAATTTTATTCGATTTGTCTTCGAGATATTGTCAAAAGTAGGATCAAAATAGTTGGTTTTTGTTTTATTACAACTTCCAAATGAAATTTTTATATCTGCAATAATGTAAATGGATTAAATTATATATTGTTCTAAATCTTGCTGTAGTTAACCATCATCTTGTTGAATACATTTTTCGTAAACTTTAATTGTCTCTTAACTCATTGATTGCCCCTGTAAATTCATTGGCGACGTTCCACGGCATCATGGCAAGAGTTTTAATTCCATATTGGTGAAGTACCCTAATACAGATATCAGAAGCATAAATTCATGATTATATCTTAAAGCATTCAATTGCAATTCTTGCTATAAAAATTATTTTTTGAGTTTTTATTGTTTAAGTTACATTATTTAAATAAAATGTTTACATAGTTTACACCCCCTCATACACTCCACTGTAGGAGATTTTGTGAAAATGTCCTTTTTTTCTGCCTGAAATAAAATATGGAGTGTGTTATACAATTGTAATCAGAACAACGTATTCTATTGAAAATTGTTAGTGTTTCGTTATACATGTCACCACACACATACGCATATACACACACACACACACACACGCACACACACACACACACACACACACACACACACACACACACACACACATTGAAATCTTCTACACCCAAAAAGTTACATCCAATCAAATTGTCATTAAGAATGCGCGGCACATATCAACATTTCTAATTGCGAGGTTAGATTCTTAAGTTAATTCTTAATAATCGATGAGAGACGATTTTTTTGACAAATTTTGATGAACATATGTCGACTGTTGATTTTATTGAATTTAAATAATAATAGTAGTAAGTAATATAAAAACTTCAAATCAATACGCAATACATTTTCTTATGTGCTTTCGAGTAAAAAAAAAATGTCTCCATTATTTCTAAGGCTATTCGTGGATGTTCAACTGCAACATCTTCTGAATCCTTCAGGTATAACCGTAGCAAGAGCTCCCATCATAGGCTAGTCTGGATTGCTTAGTGGGCATACACTCCCAGGCACAATTCAATGGAAATTGTTAAATATGGGCTTTTTATTGCTTTCAGTGCCTTATCATTTTTGGAGAAAATTAGGATGAAACTAACACCTTTAGCACCAACGTCCAGGATAAAGTGTGCGAAATTATTATTCATTAATATTACGGTATTTGGTTCATGGAATCTTGATTTAATTCAAAGAGTTATGCGGTTGGTATTTGTCGTTTCTTTAAAAAAACAATTTTAATAAAGGCGCAACTTATAGGAGCGCAAGTAAATAAGCTACACTTAACAAAGTTGGGTAAATTTAAAAATGATTGAATACGGAATAAAAATCAATTCGAACAGCTTAATGAAAACATTCCTAAAAAGTCCAACTCTGTACTTGAAACTCGATAATTTACCGTGAGTCATGAAACGAAAGAATGCGACGTCACGTCATGGGTTTCTTTGTAGCCTGAAGATTTCCTTAATCACTTGATCTCGAAGGGACGGTGTTCATCCTATTTCGCTTTAACCTTTACATAACCTTTATCAGATTGATCCGATATTCTTAATATTAACCATAAGAATACGTATATTTAAAGATTTACCTGGGTTAGGACTGCCTTCGTCATGATCCATCCATTCTGAGAACTGAAACAAAAACAAGGGAAAATTTATTATACAGCGGTTACTTGGTAAGAGGTGTACCTAGCTCTTAATGATCAGTTTTCATCAGTTTGACTGGGATACCCATAGAGAAAGATCTTTTTCTATTTGATATTTGGACATTTCACAGAGGTAAAAAGGCATGGCCTTGTTTATAAGTGCAAATTCATTCTTGTATTCTTGAAAAAAATCAGTAAAATTATTTTAATGAAAATCTCAAATTTGAAATTAAGTAATCACATAGAATACAGGGAATTATTTGTCGAACTTGTGCCGTTAAAAAGCATGTTCAGATATATAGAAAAAAAATACAGAGAAATAATTTGATAAGAAATAATTTTTTTTAAATTATTTATTGTTTTTGTTGATATCAATTTTGAAAGAACGTTATGAAAAACCCATACATATACTTGTTTCACCCAGGACAATAAAGAAGTAACATTATGAAAAAAATTAGAAAAAACGCTACTTGAAGAAGATAAGTAATTTAAGATAAACAAAAATTTTGTATTTTGGAAAAAAGATAATTGTTTAGTTTTCATAATGGTATATATATATATATATATATATATATATATATATATATATATATATATATATATATATATATATGCGGAGTTAATTAGGCAAAATGTCGCCATAGTCTTAAGACAGTCAAAACCACCGCAACCAAACTTAAGCAGAGAAGAAATGCAAGCCTTAAGGAATCTAAACAAAAACGAAAACATTCTAATAATGCCAGCAGACAAAGGAAATGCCACTGTCGTCATGAATACGTCGGATTATAATGCAAAATTGGAGGATATTTTGAACGACCCAATATACAAACTAGTCACCAGAGATCCCACGACATATTTGGAAAAAACAACTATGTCCAAAATTCTCGATTCACCAATAAACGAGGATACAAAGAAGAAACTTATTCCGAGGGAAAAATCGAGTCGTTGCCCAAAATTCTATGGGCTCCCAAAGATCCATAAGGACGGGGTTCCCCTGCGTCCAATCGTAAGCGCCTTTAACTCACCATTATGCAAGCTGGAAAAACATCTGGCCAGTGCACTTCAGCCTATAGTGGAAAAGGCAGATTCCTATGTTAAAAACTCAGAACATTTCACTCAGATTTTAGGTTCTCTCAGGATGGACAAGGACGACATTATGGCAAGTTTCGATGTCAAATCCCTCTACCCGAGTATTCCAGTAGAAGAGGCACTCTTGCTTATAGAAGAAAACGAAGATCTTCCGCCATACATAATGGATCTGTCAAGACATTGCCTGAAAAACGCTTACTTTATGCACAACGGGAAAATTTACCGACAAATAGATGGAGCAGCAATGGGATCATCTCTCTCACCTGTGATTGCCAACCTCTTCATGATTTACTTCGAAAAGAAAGCAATAGAGAAGGCAAATCTGAAGCCAAAACTATGGACAAGATACGTTGATGACGTATTTGTTGTATGGCCTTTTGGCAAGGAGGAGCTTTTGAAATTCCTAGATCATCTGAATTCCATTCACCCAAGGATTCAATTTACAATAGAACTTGAAGAGGATAACAGTCTGCCCTTTTTAGATGTGCACATCACAAGGACCGAAGATGGACACTTGGAACACACTGTCTATAGAAAACCAACACACACTAATAGATATCTGAACACTAAATCTCATCACCACCCATCACAGATACAGGCAGTGGCAAATACATTAATTGCTCGGTCCTTCAGGCTCACAAACGAGAGGAACAGAGATAAAGAACTGAAGAAAATTAGTACCTGTCTTCGACAAAACGGATACCAAAGGCATACCATCAGCAAGGCAATCAGTAAACAACAACAGCCGCAACAGAGAGTGCAGGACGAGACCCAACGAAGATCGATCGCTGTCCTGCCATACATCAAGGGGGTTACTGACAAAATCGGCCGAATATTACGGAAACACGACATATCAACGGCATATAAACCTGACCATACCATCGGAGCAATACTAAGAAACCCAAAACAAAAAATTACTCTGGAAAACCAAGGAGTATACAGTGTAGCATGCGGATCGTGCAGCCTGACGTATGTGGGACAGACCAACAGAAGGATTTCAGCCAGGCTCGAGGAACATCGTTTAGCCATAAGAAACAAACAAACAACATCTGCTTTGTTTCAGCACCAACATCAGACAGGCCATAAAATTGATTTCGGCACTTGCAAACAAATAGCCAATATTCCTGATTTTAGGACTAGGATTATACGAGAGGCCATTGAAATAGAAAAGTCGGGACACCTCAATACGAGAGACGACGCTTTGCATTTATCCAACACGTGGAGAACGATAATCAAACAGCAGAGCGATACGCAGCAGCCAACGGGGACATCGCAACTACGATCGGGCGAAATTAACAACGCGACAATTCAGGGGGCGGAGCCACCTCCCCCCACGCACAAGCAGCACCGTTACCATCTCCGGCGCAGAGTATAAATACCGCACGCACCGCCGATAACCTCCCAGTGTTCGAAGTGTTTTCGGAGCGCGAGCATTGAAGATGCCAAGTGAGATTTTGGCGAAACGTCTGCAGGATTCCAGTCGGATGCAGGATTTGCAGGATTCCAGTCGGATGCAGGATTCCAGTCGGATGCAGGATTCCAGTCGGAGTTCAACGAGCGAACGGATGATATCCCGGACTATAGTGTCATATAT